TTAAAAAATAATATTAGAAAAAAAAAATTAAAAAGAGAAATATTATACAACGAATTGTATTTAAAAGTAATATCAATAATTACAAACATTTAGAAATATTCTTAACACGTGGTTTCATAATATGTTAGATAGAAATAGAGATAGAAAATGTGCACACCTGTGTGTGTGTGTGTGTGTATTCGAGAGAGAGAAAGAGAAAGAGAGATAAGGATAGAGAGATAAAGATTATCCCGCAGTTTCTTCCAAAACGAATCTCACGCTTCTCAATTTCACGAGTTTTGCCTATCGGCCGGTTGCATCTTCTAAACTTATTTAAGTTTCGCCATATTTTATGCCAAGAGAGGAGAGAGGAATATCCCGTTGGAAGAATAAAACGCGAATAAGAAGAAGAGAAGAGCACCCAGTGCCGGAACCAGTTGTGCTAGAGCAAGGGGGTTAACTTGAGTTGAATTGGGGTGGGTAGGCAGAGGGTGGGTGCTGTGGTACGTAAGGCTGAAGTTTACGAAAAGAAATCAGAAGACTTTTATCCATTAACATATTTTCAAAAACTACTAATCTGTAATATTTGAAAAATTTATATTTCACACAAACAAACAAACAAACAAAAAAAGAAAATATTCGATCGAGAAATTTTGGTTTAATTTGATTTTCAATTGCACCGTTCGATAAGTCATTTCGTTTTTCTGCTTTCCCTTTTTCTTTTCTTTTTCCCTTCTATACAAAGTATTAAATTTTTTTTAGTTATAATGATATTCGTAATCCTTAATATTATTTTTTAACGATTTGACACGTCTCGGTAGATTTATTTTTTGTTTTTTCCTTTTTCGCCGATCGTATCGGAAATGAAAACTAAAAAACAAAAAACCGAGGCGCGAGTATTTCCGTAAATTTTTTTTTGTTGAGGCGGGGGTGGGGTGTGGTTTGATCGGTCGAAGGTGTAGGGAGGAGGGATTTTTTTTTTGTTTGTTTCCTTCCTTCCTTTTTATTACCGCGATGTGATAGAGAAAAAACGAAATTGTACGAACAGTTTAGCGAAGAGGCTTTTGTTAAAGTGAACAATCCCTGTTTTCAAATTGGGTTTTTCTCCTTTTTTTTTTTTTTTTTTCGAAATTTCGTTCCGTTAATATCGATTTGAAAGATGCACACCACGAACGTTTTAGTTTTCGTCCAGTTTCGAAAAAGTGGATGATGGGTGAATATAAACGGCATTTATCTGGTGGATACTCTGTTAATTGTCGAATAATAAATCCTTTTTAAGTCGAATTTGTTACTTTTTAATCATCGACAAATCCATTTGAAATAAGAAAACGAATCTTTTTTTTCTTTTATACGATAGAAAGAAAAGAAACGAAATTATTTGTCCGAACACACAGTGAATTATTTGTCGATAATTTCAATTTACTTGCGAAAACAAAACACATTTACGATGTATTATTTTTATTTTATTATTTAGTTTCTTTTGTTTTTTTTTATTATTATTATTACGTTTTACAAATTAATTTTATAATATTTGTATTTAATTTCACGCACCCCCCCCCCCGTACCCCTTTTATACTCATCATGAAACGTGCGTGTCACGATTTTTACCTGCAAACTTATTCCATATTCATTAAATTTTCATTTGTAATTAAATTGTACGGGATGTAACGTATGTATGTATGTATGTATGTATTTTGTATGGATGTAGAAATACGTATTGGTATTCGTAAATGAAAAATGTGAAGCATGCTATTTTATTATTCCAATTTTTATTGATACGATATTTCTCTTTTTTCTTTTTTTTTTATTTTTTCGAAGGTTACAAGCGAGAACAAAACGTAAATTAATTCAATCGTGACGAGTTTCCAATAAAATCGGTCTTTTTAGATTATCAGTGGAAACGTATTTAATACACTTACAGAGTCAAAAGTTTGTGAATAAAATTCAAACGAGAAGAAAAGAAAGAAGAAAGATTTTTAATATAAAAAACAAAATAAAATAGTAATTTTATAAATTAACGAAGCGAATATTAATTAATATATGTCGTCTTACATTTTTTATTCTAATTTGTTTTTTTATTTTTTGTTTTTAATAACTAATGAATATATAATTTTATAAATAATCTAAAATATTTCAAACATCCTTTTAGAGATTTATGAACAAATATTATTTCCATTCTCGTAGAAATTATTAAAAATAATTAAACAAAAGATTTGATTGTTTTAAACTATACCAAAATTGTAACTAACATAATTTCTATTCATATTGTTATTTGATATAATAATAATGATGAATCATTACAAAATTTATGTATATCATTCTTAACTTTTGATAATAGTGTACATGTATGTGTATATGTGTATATACGTTTGTGTTAAGTGTATGTAAGAATGGGCAAATGTGTAGATGTATGTATAGGTGTATGTATGCATATTTAAACGTGTAGATTTATGTATCTATGTACGAATGTGTGTGTGTACGTACATTGTTACCGGATTTTCTGTCATCGACATTTGAAAATTGATATAACGTAGATTTCGATCTAATTAGCCATTCGTTAATTAAATGATACCCAAACGTGTTCGGCCCACACACACACACACTCACATATATTATATCAAGTAATATTCTTTACATTATTTTCTTTTTTTATTTTTTTTTTTTTTATTTTTTTTTTCTAGATTCGACTGTGCCAGTGACACTTTGCTTGTTAATCGAGAAGGGGATGTCTGTGGTAAGTGACGTTATTGATAAGTTACGAATAATGATATTACATTTATTAAAATTGAAATTGTACCATTTATAACAGAAATAATACAATTATTAATTAATATCTACGAAAAATATATATTAGATGATATTCGTTTAAAAAAGATATTGAACAATTTTTTTTAATAATTTTTTCGTTTCTTCTTAATATTTCCTATACAATTGGAATAATAAAAAGAAAGAAAATAATTGGGCAAGGTAGGTGGGTGGGGGGAGGGAGGAAGAGTAATTAAAAGTAAAAATAAAGAAAATAATAATTCGTTCAAAATAGTTGGAGAGAAAATTGTTAACTTAGTTATGATCAATTGTAGTAAATTAAGACGAAAAAATATTAATTTTTCGTTAAGAAAAACATTTTTTAAAAATAAAATATAATTTTGACGAAATGAAAAAATAGAAGAGAAAAGCCTTGTGGTGGTATATAAATACCGGATAGAAATCGAAGAACGAACGAAAAAAAAATAGAAAGAAACGATAATGAGAATCGCGAAAGGTAAAATAAAAAGAAGGAGGAGGAGCAAAAAAAAAAAATAGAAAAAACAGTGGAGAGGGAGAGAATGAGAATATGGAAAAATAGAAAAATAGAAAAATAAATGAAAGAGAAGACTCATCGTTGTAGATTTTTCATTTCCTCCCTGTTGGGTTATTCCTTCTTTTATTATTTTTTTTTCTTTCTTCTTTTTATTTATTCTTCTTCTTTTTTTTTTTTTTTTTTTTCTTATTCTTATTATTTCTTTTCTAATAAACACATTCTATCCTTTTATTTTTCTAACGATACTCGATCGTTTTACAATCGATTCCGAGAGTCGATTCGAATACTACTAAGCTTCGTGTTATCACGATGAATCGCTGATTTAACGATAACCCGCACGANAATGAAAGAGAAGACTCATCGTTGTAGATTTTTCATTTCCTCCCTGTTGGGTTATTCCTTCTTTTATTATTTTTTTTTCTTTCTTCTTTTTATTTTTTTTTTTTTTTTTTTTTTTTTTTTTTTTTTTTTTTTTTTTTTTTTTTTTTTTTTTTAATTCTTCCCTTCTTTTTTTTTCGTTCATGTGATTCGATCGTTTTACAATCGATTCCGAGAGTCGATTCGAATACTACTAAGCTTCGTGTTATCACGATGAATCGCTGATTTAACGATAACCCGCACGATACATTCAAATGTAAACAGCCCAAGCTCGTTACAGACTAGTGAACGAGTAACAAGGATGGGAAATGGTAGACAGAATAAAAGAGGGAGAAAGAGAGAGTGGGAGAGAGAGATAAAGAAAGAGAATAATCGAAACGTACTATAGTTTGCAGTCCATCATTTTTTACTCTCCAAGTAATTACACCCACATTCTATCTTAAATGTAGCTAAGAATTTTATTTCTTATTTTTTCTATCTATTATATTTATTTATCTTCGCGTCTTACTTATCAGTAGTTTTTTTTTTTTAATTAATTTTTTCCTTTTTTTTTTATTTCATTTCGTCAAATAAATTTTTCATGCTTCGTTTATTTTAAATATATATATATATGTGTAGTTAATAATTTAATAGGTATATATATATAAAACATTTAAAAATATTTTCTCACGTGTTTTATACATCTATTAATTGAATGAGAATAGAAATAGAAGTATTGCTACGTTTAAAAATATTTTTCAACGATATTATACGTATCTATTAATCAGAATCTACCCTAACCTCACTTATCAAACCCAATTTTAACCTAACCTAACAGTATCTAAGTTAAGTTAATTAACCTAACTTAACTTAACCTGCCTAATCAACTTTTTCTTATTAGATAATAATGAACAACGAGAAAAAACGTAACAATGTTTGAACCGTTTAAAAATAAAACATAATTTAATTCTTACCAAAGAATTTTAGAAAACGCGTAAGGAAAAAAAAATTATTTCAGTCGGATTATAATTTATATTTTCAATTTAATTTTCTCTCGCCTCGGTTTGTTTTATCCTATCTTTATCCATTTATACTTATCTTTAATCTTAATCTTTAATTGTTATATTTATTTAAATTATATTTTCGGGGTTCTCTCTCTCTCTCTCTCTCTCTCTCTCTCTCTTTTCAATTCAATTATGTTTCTTCTAATCTTTCTGCTATTTATATTATTATACAAATTGTTGTCTTAATTTTAAATACAATTTACCGGTATCTCTAACGTACGGTACCTTCTTTTCTTTTTTCATTTTTTTCATTTCTTTTTTAAACAAAGGACACCAAAGGCAATTAAAAAAGAAAATTACTCGAGACACTAAAATGCTATATTAAAATGCGAAGCTTTCGACTATAATATACGAAACGCACCATGAATAATTAAACGCGATGAATGTTAAACTAAGCGTGTATAAATAATGCATGCCCAACCTATTTTATTTTTATCCTTCTTCTTCTTCTTCTTCTTCTTTTCTATTTCTTTCATGTATTTTTGTCCATTTTTTTGTCCATTTTATCCAGGCAGACTTTGACTTTTAATATCTGATCGTTCTAACACACATCCACACACGATGATGACGATCAATACAAAAACAACACACGTATGTGCGTAAAGATAAAGAACGATATTATTTTTGTGTGTATGTCAAGTTAAAGTCACGATACACACAGTTATTCTTATCAATTCAATCTAGACGATCAAAGAGCATGGGATTGGTCACGTGCCATTTAAAGTTCGAAGCGTACGCTTTAAACGAGAGAGACATAATTTTCCTTTCCTTTTTTCTTTTTTTTTTCTTTCTTTATTTTGTTCATTTCTTTCCTTTTTCTTATCGTCATTTTAATGATGTCATAAAGATTTGAACAGTAAACGTTTTATTTAACCGTTAAGATACATAATTGGCACGTTTGTAACATTTTACGCGTGTTTTTCGTGCATGTAACGATAAAAACACACGGGGAGATATTTTTTCTGGGGACGGTCCTGTATGACATCATTTTACTTTTTTAAGGTTAACTTTTCGTGTTTTAATACATATATATACAAATAATTAAATTAATTATATTTAAATTATATTAATATTATATATTAAATGATTAATATATATATTCCATGAATTTGTATTCCAATTAAATATCCCGACAAAATGTGGAGGGGGATTGGCGGGAAACCACAATGCAAGAATTTATTACAAAAATGATGAAAGAAAAACGAACGCGTGTAAATTTTCTATTGAAATTAATTCGTATTTGCGGAAATAAACTTGGATTTACCTTATTTGTTTAAATTAAAAAAGAAAAAGAAAAGAATACGATTGTAAAGTTGTTTTTAGGTTATAGCATGCCGCCATTGAAGTTAGCGAGGTGTAGGGGGGGAAGGTGGGGGCGCTGTATGTCGATATATTCGAACATGTACGTGATTGCGCTTACATTTCTGCGAAATTATAGCGTCCCGTTTAAACCGGACACCTGTACAATTTATTACATCTATTACCCGCGTCGCACCGCATTCTGAAAAATTAGCACGATAAATTTTCCTCGCGTCGGATTGATAATATTATTCATGTATGCGCTCACGTCCGTAACTGAAACATAGCATTTCCGAATACCGTGAATTTTAAAACCATGGACACTGATTTTTATCATATGTGTTATACACATATAACTATCCATACCCATATATTCATATATTTAATGTATATATATTTGTACGTGCAGCAGCACATGCCTGTATATATATGTATTTGCACGTATACGTATAAGAATCATGTATAAGTACGTTTACGTGTAAGTGTGTATGAGTATATGAATACGTGTATTAGAAGTATGCGTGGGTTTTCAGGACGTGTGGGGGTGTATTTACAGAGATATTTGTTTTGATATAAAACGTGATGCGAGAGAATGTTGACATCATATGTCGACATTAGTCTTCATTTGTTCTGATCAAACGTATCTTTTACAAAACTAATTTAATATAAACTAATTAGCTAAATATGGATATATATATATATATGTATATAATAATACTATTAATATTCATTATATAATAATTTTATTTATTTATATTTATTCGATGGTTGG